GGATCTTCTGTTTGAATCACAGTTCACGCAGAACCAAAAGATACATCAGACATTAAGAGTATATGATGAGAAATGAGAAGTTGTATTAAATAAGACATGGTAGTAACTGATCTTTACCTTGTTTAGAATTGATTACATATTATAATTATGACCCGATCACTGTGTTCTTTGGCAAACCTGATTTTAAAACGAGAACTTGGAAACCAGAAATTCCTTCAAGATCCTCCATCAGGATTATGAGCTCACATTCTTGCCAATATTTTGTGGGAAACATCAGACTCAGTTTAACTGAAGCTCTGCTTAATTTCAGCCACGATAAACAAACTAACCCCTTTTAAAACCCGAACAAGTTCTGCTGATATTACTAAGATTAGTAGACACCAGGAAAAGATGGCAGGAAGAGTCCCCAGAAATTTTGAACTACAAAATTTATAAATCTGAAATGCAATGTATTTTACTTTCCATCAATTCTTACGTGGTTAAGATTTTAGAGACCTACAGAGATCAACAATGCAATGCTGAAATTATGCAACCATGTTAATTTAGAGCAAATTTGTGCAAAACTATCAGTAACATTAAAAAAAAAAGTCCTGTAGACAAGTCTTCCTGTGCATACTTTCAGATGAAGATTTTATAGCACAATTGCCTGTCCTCTTTAATGAAAAGATGTGGATTCAGAAATCACGCTCCCCTATTTGTTCAACTGTCGTAAATACATGCCGTTGCCAAGCCCCCAAATTGTGATCACATGACTGTGGGGATGCTGCAGTGGTCTTAAGTATGAAAAATAGTCGTAAGTAATTTTTTTCCAGAACCATTTTTGTACAGGCAGTCCTCGAGTTACAACCACAATGGAACCCAGAATTTATGTTGCTAAGTGAAATCTATTTGTTAAGTAAATTTGCCCTTTTATGGCTTTTCTTACTACAATTGTTAAGTGAATCATTGTATTTGTTAAGTTAGTAACATGGTTGTTAAGTGAATCTGGATTCCCAAATTACTTTGCCGGTCAGAAGGTCGCAAAAAGGGATCACATGAGCCCAGGACACTGCAACAGTTGTAAATATGAACCCTTGCAAAGCATCTGAACTTTGATCATGTGACCATGTTGCAACAGTAGTGTGAAAAAGTCATAATTCACTTTTTTCAGGGCCGTTGAAACTTTGAATGGTCACTAAATGAATCACCGTAAGTCAAGGACTACCTGTACCCTAACTGTGAATGGCTGCTAAATTGTAAGTAGAGGACTACCTGTATTGGATTTCTACCAATTATTTTAAAGTGGGCTTTATTTTGGAATGAGTTTCTTTTGAAAACAAGAAGTAATCATACCTCCTTACATGTCCGAGAAAGCTTGGCATTCTCAATTTCTTTTGTGCATGTGTTGTATGTAAGCAAAGCATCTTCTGAATAATATGCACATTTCTATAAGGCAGTGTTTCTCAACCTTAGCAAACTTTAAGACATGTAAATTACAATTCTCAGAATTTCCCAGCCAGCCTGCTGGCTGGAGATTTCTGAGAATTAAAATCCACATATCTTAAAGTTGCCAAGATTGAGTGTATGCCTGTGTTAATTATAGTGTAATTTCCCATTTAGTATAAGTCAAACCCTACCATAGCTGTTGATCTGGAGATAGGTCTTGGCTGGCATTTTTAGCTATTAACATTGCAATAACAATTCTGCAAATAATTATCCTGCTGAACAAAAAGGAGATGCTCTAATCTCATATTTTTGACTAATGTCATGCCAGGAGTAACAAAACAGATTCCAATATTTGGTCAGGCAACCAATAGGCTGGAGACAAGATGCAGTTGTTGTCAATGACTAACTGCTCTGCTTATATAAAGCAGTAGTACTGAAATATCACAGAGAAATAGAAACCCTGATTGTTTTTTTTTAGGTTACTGAGAGTTCCAAACAAGAAAGGACAAGCTCTTAAAGTTTTTTGTTTTATTTTGTTTTTCTCAAATCTGCAGAACTTGACCAATGGAGAATATTCAAAGAAAAATACAGCTGTTTTTTTTCTGTTTTAATACACTCAAACTTTCTCAATCCTCATGCCACCCTTTTATCTTTGGGAGATTTTTGCTAACCAGCTTAGATCATTAGATATGTGATGATATCAGCGCAGAAAAGGATACAGGTTGTGGCTATACAGTACTACAGAAAATTGGTTTTCGCAATACATACATTTCAGAAAACAGGTGTAGTCTATAGAGCTTTTCCAACGATGCCACCATCTTGCCTCTCCCTGAGATATCAATAGACTTTGGCAATACCGTATTCCTATTGGGCCTTATGTGATCAAGCTGAACGAACAATATCTTCTAGGTCCTAAATACAGTCAACAATTGAAAATAGATGAGGCTCTTATTTTAGCATTGTTTGGTGATAAGAGATAACAATAGAAATAGGGATATATTCCAATACACATAGATAAATCAGCTTGCTAAATACTTAGCTCTTAAGTGCAGGATGTAGGGTGTATTTATTATTACTATTGTATATATTAAATTTATATGCTGCCTGGCTTCCAGCTTATAATAATTAAAACATTTAAAAACAAAAATAGGGGAAATTTCACATAAAAGGCACAAGAGAAAACTGTGATGTCTGAGTTGTGGTATCGGACCTACACTGTTCCTGTTGCAATGCCATGATTGCTGGCAGGTGATGTGCTGAAGAGGAAGGGCAGCAAACCAGAAGTCTCAATCCGTCAACTGTGCTTATTAACACATGGTATTTGCGGAATCAGGACAACACCATTTGATGATGAGTCACTTAGATGCAACTAAGTCAGGACTGGAACTGGAAAGGAGGACAGCTTTAAGCAATTTGGAACTACTTTACAAAGGTCAGAATTATGTACGTCATGATATTCCCTGTAGATACTCCATGGGAAGTGAATGTTGAATTTTGATGTAGCAGAGTAAGAAGAGCAATAATGCTTTTGAACTTTGGTGTTGGAGAAAACTCCTGAGAATATTGTGGAACCAACCCACCCCCTCCAATAAATTGTCAAACAAATAAATCCAGATTTTTCTTTTGGGACACAAATGACCAAACTCAAATGATCCTACTTCAGACAGATTATGCAAAGCCTCAGAAAGCCAAAGCTTCTCTGGAAAAGGCTGTAATGCTGGCAAAGATAGAAGGAAAGAGAAAAGGATGACTTCCAGCAAGGGGGATGGACTCGGTAACAGAGTAATGGGTGTAATGTTGGAAGTCTTGAAAGACTAGGTTAGGGATAAATTGTAATGGAGAAAATCAATCTATGTGGTCACTAACAGTCAAAAATGACTTGATGGCAAATAATCAATCATTCTATATCAGAGTTCCTCTAAATTGGGATCGATCAATACAATCTTGAAATTTATCCAGAGTCATACATACAGTATTTATTGTTTTTCTCCCAGAGACCCTTTTTAAATTGCTATGTTTAAATTGCAAATCTATATTTTAAAATCTGTTCTTGTCACTAAATGTTTTTATATTTGTATTTAATTATATCTCACTTTTTATTTTTATAAATAGTAACTCAAGGCAATGAACATACGTAGTACCCCTCTTCTTTCTCCACAATAACAACCTTGTGAGGAAGGTTGAACTGAGAGAGACTGACTGGCCCAAAGTCACCCAGTTGGCTTTCATGCCCAAAATGGAATTAGAATTCATAGTCCTCTGGTTTCTTGCCTGGGTACCTTACCCACCAGACTAAACTGTTTTAAAGTGATGACTGAATTTAAAAAGGAACTTTGACATTTTCTTCTTTCCTTAAAAAAACTCATACTTATCTTTTCTGAGAGTGACCCGTCTCCAGAGACGGAAGGGTGATTTTCCTAGACATACTACAGGCCTAATCAGGTCACACCATAGAATTGATTTCATTTTTATCATCTTGACATTTTTCAGAAAAGCTTAGGCTATGGCAGGGGTGTCAAACTCAAGGCCCATGGGCTGGATCTAGCTCACAGGGCTGCCCTGGGAAGAGCAAAGGACCGGCCTGCGATGCCTCTGCCAGTGAAAATGGAGCTCCCGGCCCTCCCAGGCTCCATTTTCGTTGGCAGAGCGCTTGGGCCACCACAGGCACCTCTGACATGAATGACTTAGAACTGGCCACTGCGCCCCCACCCCCGAAGTCAAACACATGGTTTTTTTTTTTTTTTTTGGCCACATGTTAAGTGAACCACTGCAATTGTTACGTGAATCTGGTTTCTCCATTGACTTTGCTTGTCAGAACGTCACAAAAGAAGATCACGCAACTCCAGGACACTGCAACCGTCATAAATGTGAGTCAGTTGCCAAGCATCTGAATGTAAATCATATGACCATAGGGGATGCTGCAATGGTTATACGTATGAAAAACGGCCATTTCATGTATTCACAACTATGTATACATTTATACTTATTATCTTGTAAACAATTGGCAAATCAAATAAATAAATAAATAAATAAGTCACTTTTTCAGTGATGTTGTAATAGTCACTAAACGAAGTGTTACAAGTCAAGAACTACCTCTATTATGCTTTCCATGCACCTGAATACTTTACTCTAGACCTTCACACTCGTTCTGCTTTGTGTCCAAGATCCCAATTCTGCCAGTGCCTATCTTTTGATTTACAACCCATCCCATCCCATCCCAAAGGCTGGGTTTCGATTCGAGGGCTAAATGCAAAACCAATTAGCGTCCAATATTGAATGAAATTTATATCTCACAGCCTCCACCTCCTTTTCTTCATTTCCAGACCAGAAAGGCGTCCCCGTTTTATGAATCTGGATTCCTTTCTCCAAAAAATTAAGAGAACGCAAAAACCTGAGCATTAGGCTCTCCCTCTTCCCGTTTTCTCCCTGTTAAGAGAGCACAAGAAGATCCGCTCGCCTCTCCCACCCACCCCGATCCGGGGAGCGCCGGGCTGAAGAATCAGCGAGGGGGGCTGCCGCTTCGCTGACCGGCTCTTTTCTTTACCGCCACAGTTTCCGACCGAGCCTTTCTTGCTGAGGGACGCCGCCGCGGCGGAGCTTCTGGGCGCCACCGGCCAAGTCGCGAACGAGGGCGAGCCGGGGAAGGCGGACCGATTGGGAGGGGACATGGAGGCCTCCGAGAAGAAGCTGCCCAGGGCTGTAAGTAGCGGTCCTCCGCTGTGGAGGGAGAGAGAGCAGCTGGAGCAGCGAGAGGATTCGCCCCAGGGCGGCGCTGCGCTGCGCTGCGCTGGGTGTTCCGTCAGGGAAAACCTTCCCGGGCGTCATTGCTGGATGCGTTTTGCACAATATTCGATCGAATTTAAAAATGGGGTTATAGGAGGACGCTGAATTGCGGGGATAGTACAGTTAGTACTCGACTTACGATCACAGTCGAGCCCAAAGTGTCTGTTGCTAAACGGGACATTGGTTAAGTGAGTCTTGCCTCGTTTTCTTGCCACAGTTGTTAAGTGAATCATTGCAGGGGTTACATTAGTAACACAGCGCTTAAGTGAACCTGGCTTCCCCATCGACGTTGCTTGTCAGAAGGTCGTGAAAGCAGACCACATGCCTCCAGGACACTGCAACCCTCATGAATGGGAGTCAGTTGCCAAGGGTCTGAATTTTGATCACGTGATTGGGTGGGATGTTGCAATGGTCCTTTAAGTGTAAAAAATGGTCTTGTCACTTTTTTCAGTGCCGTAACTTTCAACTGTCACTCAATGAACTGTTGTAGGTTGAGGACTACCTGTATTTACACCTTGAGTCTGAAGGCCGAGTGTGAGAACTTCACTCCCATCGTCCCAAAAAGGTGCTTTATTTTTCCCCAAAAGGCACCTGGACTTTGTTTTTCTTTGAAAACGTTTCGCTTCTCATCCAGGAAGCTTCTTCGGTTCAGATGAGAAGCGAAACATCTTCAAGAAAAAACAAAAGTCCAGTTGCTTTTTGAAAAACACACCTTTGGGACAACCATGATCTTAGACTATCATAGTGTCATTTCTGTCTTTAGGCCTAAGCAAGCCTAGAAATGATTCAAAACTATTTAAAGATGATGCATTCAAACTTCACGGCCCTTATTGTTTCAGATTACAATTCACCTCTCAATTCTTTTTGAAGTGCATTGATATGAATCATAAAACCATATCACATATCACTAAATTCCATATGTATAGCTGAGGTGAGCATATCCCTCCATTTACAATCAATTCAGCCACTGTACAGGCTCTATCGTATCTGAATCTTTCTTTCTTTGTTTATTTTATGTCAAAATAAGTTAATGTCTCATTATGTGCAGAAATCTCCCAGCTACTTACTTCCCAAAATATACCTTACCACACAAGGGAGTAATCAGAAAGCAATTAGGGCAAAGATTCTGCCTCACCTGAATGTGATAATTGCAATCTAGATCATAGTTCATATATTGAAATTGTGCAGCTTAATCATAATAAATCCTGAAGCTCTGTATTAAAAGTGGAAAAAGGGGTGTGCTTGTCTGGAACATTGGGAATATAAATTGCATAATTTTAGCACATCAGCATTACAGAACTAAATACAGAATACAGAACTAAAGTGACATAAACTTATATACAAAACTATACAGAACTATGTGAAATTACAACTGCCAGTTGTTTAGCTAGTATTTGCCTTCATACCTATGGATTTCTTCTTAAGCACCAAGGATGTTGTAATATATGGTGTAATATATAGTGTGTCCTTTTGTAATGGATAGATGGAAAATTTGTCAATGTGCACATGTTTTATGAGCTGTCCAACATTTTTTGGGTATGACATCTAGTGTCACTGAGACCTCCGTGAGTGGTTTATGCCATATACTTTCAATTTCGATTTTCAGATTTTGATACTTTTTGTTATCTTTTCCAGTCTTTTTGTTTTCTATACTACTACACCCTAGTATTGCCACATCAATTATCCACATACTCTTCTTTTCAAACACAGTTCAATCTGATGTGTTATGTTTGTACCAAGTCTTCATTAGTTTCTTTTGGGAATTCCCGCATAATTTTAACCTGGTCATTTTGATCCCATCAATTTTTCATTAATGGCCCATGATCATTTTTATAGATGTTTCAGTGAATCATTTTTGGCAATTGTATTATGTTATTGTTGATAATCAGTTTATTTTTGGTCATACAGTCAGCCAGATGTTTAGATAGGATTTGGCATTTTTGTCCACCTTTCGAGTCTCTCCCAAGGACCTGGGATAGGAAGATGTTCTTTGAGAATATCAAAGGTATTGTCTTGAAAACTGTTCTAAGTAAAGCTACCTTTTGCAATTGACTGATGGTGATTTTGTCAATGTGGATGGTTTCAGGTGGTGCTCCAGTTATTTTGGGATTGCACCCAAGGTGCCTCTTATTATTTCTATTGGTACTACCTTCATTTTTTTTGCCACAGTCATTCTACTTTTATTTATCTTTGTATTTTGTTATCTTCAGTTCCTTTTCTTTCATTCTCCTGTCTCCAGGTGTTGCCATGTTTACTAACCAGACTTCATTTTATCTTTCTTATCAACAATTACTAAGTCTGGGTGACAAGTGCTTCTCTGTTTGAACTCTAAATCCCCAGAGCACTTTAGCTTCTTCCATTTCTGTTATTTTGTCTATTTTGTGATCCCACCAGTTCTTGTTTCCAGGAAAACTATATTTCTATCAGATCTTCTACTGCCCCGTTGTTGCTACTTCGTCATGCCATAGTTAGACTGTGCAATCTTCTTGAAGCAGCCTACTATTTCCTCACCTTCTTATATTTATTCAGTTTCAAATTCTATAGATGCCCATCTCAGCCAAGTCACTCTGGGTAGCTTGCAATTCTAAAACTATAAAACAGTTACAACAGTAAAAAAACAATACAGCAATAAAATCAATACAATTTTTTTTAAAGAGACAGCATTTGCTATCTATTGTTGTCTTCTCAATTCTGGCTTTGTATGCATTTTTTCATAAAGTTTGTTCTTGTGCAACCAAAATTAGCTCATCTGTCTCTTTTTTCAACTTATTTGCTCTTAGCCATTGCCAGGTCCTGTTAACTGATTTGCCTGCTTGGTTTTCTTTTTTTTTTTGTTTTAATGTACTGGCCATATAATACTCTACCTGGCTTGCTATGTCTCTTTTCTATTCTTTATGTGGTATTTTTTGTAAGCCAGTTTGGTCTTTCTAGTAATCCTTCATGATGAATTAGCTTCAGTGTAAATTCTTCAGATATTCTTCCAATGTTCTTTCTTTCTTTTTCCAATTCTCTGGTATAAATGCAACATTGCACTCCTATTTATACTCCTTGGTAAATAGAGTCTGTTAATATCACTGAATTAAGGGCTGATTCATTTTCATTATTTTTCTAGTCTTCCTATCCAGGTCTTTTAGGTCTGTTTGAGTCCATTCTGCTATTTCAGCAGTGTATGTATCTAATGACTGGAACTGCTCAGGTTTTAATAGCCTTGGTGGTATTTCCTCTACTGCATTTGGACTAAACTTTTTCTTCACTGTTCTGTTATATTCACTACTAACCACCTTCTTGACTTCAGTATGAAGAAGGATGCCCAGGTATTTAGAGTGATTATCTTCATCCAGACTCCATAGAGCATTTTGATTCCTTCAGTTTTCACTATTTCCCCCCTATTGATAATAATAAGGGTGACACATTTGTTCAGTCCAAACACTGTTGCAGTATCTTGACTTTATATGTGGACAGTGTTGAGCAGTGATCCTATTTCAGATGGTGGTTTTTTATTTTTCATAGTCATGACTTGAACTTGTTCACTAGTATTGATGGAGGAATCAGTGCAATGATACAAAGAGCAGTAGTGATACTGAGTCCCCTTGGAAAATTCTTTCTGTATCACCATTGACAAACAGCTATGTCTTCCATTGCACCATTGATTTTTGAACCAAGATTCCAATGTTTCTACTGACTCCTATTATTTATAGGCACTTCATTATCCAGTCATGTTGCAGGGAATCAAATGTCGTCTTTTAATTAGTTGAAGTTGGTCTTCCTTCTCTTACAAAGCTTTCCAAAATGATTTTGTCAGTTAGGAGCTGATGTGCAGTTTCCTTTCAGCTCAGATCAAAAGAGTTTGTTTTCAATTAGATGCTATTAGGCTGCATCAGCTAACATACCAGTTGGCAATTTGAAAGTTGTTGGTAATCAAGTATTTGGTGCTTTGCTTTTTGGGGGGATCATTATTATTTGCTTAAATAGCTTTTCCTTCCAAAGAATCCTTCCTCGTGTATTATCATTTTATTTTTTATTTCAATTTTTAAAATAGAGTTAATACATTGTTCTCCATCAACCTATTCAATCTAATCAAAAAAGTAGCTTTATGGCACTTATAGTTTTTATGTCACTTTTAACCGTGAATAACTCTTTTGTCTGGTTTTGAATTCATAACTACTAAGGCAGATAAGAAATGACTTGTATGCATAAATTGAAAGGCTGCTGTCTATTTTGGTCCATCTTTGCAATCTGTTGTATGCATGATGATATTAATTAGATAATGTTCACGGCTAGTAAATGTGTTTGTCCCCATCATAAATCTATCCCAGTATCAAAAGTGCTGCAGATAAAGTATCTTTTCGATAGTTTGTCATTATTGATTGAAAACCTGTTCTCAAGTAAATTGCAAGAGGAAGATAATTTTTTAATCAGAATTTAGAAAACATTCATGGCCCTTCCATGTTCTTCTTTAGTTGGCAAGGTTCCAAAACCTCAGATAGAAACTGGTTTCCAATTCCAATTGCTTTGATATCACCTTTGTATTCTAAGCACTTCAGCGTGGAATAACTAATCATGTTTGTTTTCTACAATCAGTCATAAATGTTAGTGATTAAAAATGCCACTTTCACCCATACATCTGCAAAGTAAGTTGGGAAAAATTATGTACTTTTAAGATTGTAAAAGGAACGTGTGACATTTTTGAAATCCTCTTGAAACTTGAATTACAGAAAACGACACTGGTAGAAGGAAGAAAGTTCTTTTTCTCATTTAAAAAAAACCTGAAGTTGGATCATAAAGTACTAGCAAGAAAGGGATATTATGCAATCCTTTAAAATACCCTATTTAATAAATTCCATATTTTCTGGCTAAATTTCCCCCCTATGAACTTAAATCAGGGTTATATGCCTTATTAAAGAAGAACTGTAGCTACTCGGGTGAAAGAGGAAATTGGAAATAAATTTTAGAATCCTGCCCTTTGGTGCCTTGTTGTCTGATGCATAGCATGGAACGGTCTTTTTTTGTACTATGCCAAATAAGGCTAAAGTATAACTTCGCCAGTTATACTTTTTATTACAGGTTTTTGCTGAGCAAACCTGGGTCAGTCATACAACTGTTAGGATCTTAGGACAGGGGTATCAAACTTGATTTCATTGAGGACAAAAGGGTTATGCTTGACCTCAAGGGACCGGGGAGGCTACAGCCAGGTGGGCGCGGCCAGCTCGACATCACTCATTGAGGCTCTGTTTTTGGCTGCAGTGGCCTCCTGCAGCCCTATGCCAGTGAAAACGGAACACAGGGAGGCGGTGTGGGCCCTCTTGGGCTCCGTTTTCAGCTATGACGGCCTCTTGCAATGCTCTGCCAGCAAAAATGGAGCTCTGGGAGGATGCACACAGCCCTCCTAAGCGCCATTTTAGCTGGCAGAGGCACCGCGGGCCGGTCCTTCGCTGCTTCCAGGGAGGGCACATGGGCCAAATGCAGCCTGCGGGCCTTGAGTTTGACACCCCTGCCTTAGGATCTGAAGAAGCCAGGGATGGATTCCTAAACTGTTCCCAACACACAGAATACATGTGGGCATGCAGTTTCCCCTGGGAAAAAATGTGTGCAATTATTGGCTCTTCATAGGTAGCTAAGACTGGCTGCCTTGAAAGTTGTTTTTTACAGCATGGCCTTGACTTGTATCCAGTCATTTAATGACCATTTGAAGTTACAACGGTAGTTAAGGTGCAGTTCCAGTGGTCCCCCTCACTCCCTGATCCACTAATGCGTTTTGAATGCTCACCAACTGGCCCGCGTTTATGGCCATTTGCAATGTCCTGTGGTCATGTGATCACAATTTACAACATTTCCCCCCCCTCCAAAAAAAAACCTGGCATTTACGGTTTTCAGCAAAAATGCCCACAGCGAACAATGAATTCACTTAACGACCGCAGATTCACATAATGACCATGAAGATTGACTTAACAATTGCTGCAAAATTCACAAAATGGGGGTTGATCATATGATGATCTGCTTTAAGACCATCGTAACTTATGACCTCTAATGAGTAGGCTCCCTTATGATCAAAAGTCAAGAACTAGTTGTACATATTGTTTGGAGTGGGAGGCCTCATTGTAGAAACCTGCAGCCATTGGAGTGGTCCCACACTTTTTTTCCCCTACCCCTCTGCTCTGGAAAAGAAGAGGAAAGAGGGGTACAAGAACAAATAATCCTTTGTTAGTTTACTCCAGCGGTGGGCAATTATGGCAACTTTATGGCCGGTGGACTTCGACTCCCAGAATTCCTGAGCCGGCTGGCTCAGGAATTCTGGGAATTGAAGTCCACAGATTATAAGTCTACAGATTGTAAAGTTGTCAGAGTTGCGCACCTCGGACTACTCTATGAACCCTCCTCTCATTTTGCTCTGAAGGAATATGATCTCCCTAAACAGGCAATCCTCAATTTACGACTGCAATTGAGCCAACATTTCCATTGGTCAGTGAGACCTTTTGTTAAGTGAACTTTGCCCCATTTTACCAGCATCCTTGCTCCCGTTGTTAAGCGAATCACTGCAGTTGTTAAATTAGTAATGTGGTTGTTCAGTGAACATGGCTTCTCTGTTGACTTTGCTGGTCCAAAGGTCATAAAAGGTCATGACCACTGGAACCGTCATAAATATGAGTCAGTTGCCGAGCATCCAAATTTAGATCCCATGACCACGGGGATACTGCAATGGTTAACTGTGAAAAATGGCCGTAAGCCCTTTTTTTCAGTGCTGTTGTAACTTTGAACTGGTTGTAAGTCGAGAACTACTTGTATATGCAGACAGAGATTCCTAGCCACTCCTAGCTGTAACATTATTCTTTGCTGTTTCGTATATTGAAATTTATGATTGCAGACAATGGATTTTTGCATAACTGAGAAGAGAGATAGAGAGAAATCTGCTGATGTTTCCCATTGTTCAGACCAAGTCTTTGTTTATGAAGCCAGTAGCCAATTTTTGTGTGTGTGTCATTTCATGTTTCCCCCCGCAAAATATGTTTCTGGTTATTTCAGTTTGGAAATTGCCCTTTGAAGCCAATGTCTTACAATCCATAAATTTACCAGAATCCATGTTGTACATTTTTTCCTCCAGATACTTGGCCATGGAGACTATGACTCTGATTTTAGTGATGATGAAACGGTGGAGAAATCTTGCCAACAGAAAAATAGGTAACATATAGCTCTAGTAGCGTTATAATTTATATGTGTGCATATAGCAGACTTTTTTTTTTTTTTTTACTAAAGTGTGAGCAGAGTTTTTAAACTTAAGTATGAGCAGAGTATCTTATCTCGAAAAATACTGTTAAAAAAATATTGTAGCATCCATTTAGTGGCTGTTTGCCATCCCATTCAGGGGTGGGATTCTACCGGTTCAGACTGGTTCTATACAACCGGTTGTTATGATTCTGCGCAGTTTGGAGAACCAGTAAATCGTGCCCCTGGCTGGCCCTGCCCCTCTCTGCCCACCCCTCTCCTCTCCTCCCAGTCAGTCCTTACCGCGCATGCGCGACATCACGCGCATGCCCGACATTGCTGACTGCGTTCTCCCTGCCCAGTCACTCCTTAAGGTATTTCTTTCTTTTTTCCCTTCCGACAATCAGCTGTTCAGATGATCAGCTGTGCCGGGATGTCCCTCGTTGTCTTACTGCTTCACCCAGGAGGCTTCCCCGAGGCCCAGGAGGCCAAAAAAACCAGGGGGGAATGCTGCAAAAAAACAACAAGAAGAAGCCACGCCCACCCAGTCACATGGCCACACCTACCCAGTCATGCCCGCCGAACTGGTTGTTAAAAAATTTGAATCCCACCCCTGATCCCATTCCTTGTATAGGTAGTCCTTGACTTACGACCACAATTGAGCCCAGAACTTACATGGCTAAGTGGGAAATTTGTTAAGAGGGTTTTGCCCCATTTTACGGATTTTTTTTCTTACCACAGTTGTTAAGTGAATCCCTGCACTTGTTAAATTAGTAACATGGCTATTAAGTGAATCTGGTTTCCCTATTGACTTCGCTTGTCAGAAGGTCGAAAAAAAATCACATTTCCCCGAGGCGCGGCAACGGTCATAAATATGAACCAGTTGTCAAGTATCCGAATGTAAATCATGTTACTATGGGGATGTTGCAATGGTTATAAAGTGTGAAAAATGGTCATAAGTCACTTTTTTTCGGTGCCAATTTCCCTTTGAGCAGACACCAAATGAACTGTTGTAAGTCAAGTTCTACCTGCAGTTTTGAGCTTCCCATAGAGCCCCACTAAAGGCTGGCTGATGATCCCTGGCTACGTCAGACAACAGGTTGTCCGCAAGTTATGACAGTTCATTTAGTTACAAAAGTTCATGACGACGCTGAAAAAAATTGATTTAGCATCAGTCATCACACAACTGTTGCAGATTGCAGATTGCAATCTGGCTTGGCAACTGGGTCACATTTACAACAGTTGCAGTGGGTTATGTAATCAATCACCCCTTTCAACCTTATATTATGGTAGTCCCCTAATGTCTTGCTTAATGACCGCATTGCTTAACAACAAATTTTGCTGTCCCAATTGGAGTCATAAGTCAAAGTTTATCTGTACTGAACAAGAAACCCAAGGAAATTGGAGGCCAAGAAGTTGAGGGAAAGGATTCCTACTGGGAAGAAATGAAGTATAACGGTTGCTTGTTATTTCTTCTTGACTTGTCTTTATGGAGAAGGGTTGATTGATTACTTCGCCATCAAGTCCTTTTCAACTCCTAGTGACCATCTAGATAGATTTTTCTGCCTGAAGGGGACGTGACGTGTATTGCAATCCTATGCTCAATGATTGGGAGTGAGGTTATAAATAGGCACATTCGTTTATGCTGATTTTTTTTTAAATTCAAGTAACCCTGGTATTGAATGTGGCATTTGGGAGCATTATCTTGGTTGCTTAGAAATAAACAGAGGGGAGACTTATAAAAATGGTGAAACAAGACATACACACACACACACACAGAAATCTAAACCAACTCCTCCTGGATAACCATAATATTATCATTGTGAAATTATTATGGTTATCCAGGAGAATGTTAAGGTTATCAACTTTTAAAAAAAGTCATTAGAATTTCACTAGTCCCGAAGAATAAAAAATAATAATAATTCATTAGAGCTATGCGGTGCTTTGGATTCAGCAACACAACACAACATTTTAATGCAGTTCTTTAGAGTAGCCGATTGGTTTAAAGAGAGGCAGATAACCACCGCATTCTTACTCCTTGTAGTAGCACTTGCTCCTATTGGAATGATTCTTATGGGGGTTTGAACGTAGCGCCAAATATTTCAAGCAGTCTTTCCAACCTAATTCCTTTCATTTGCACATGAACGGACTACATGAGATAAACAAGCTTGCAAGGAGCAAGAGGTTGGTATCTAGAAGCTCTAGGGTCAGATCTTGCTATTTGAAGAGCACCAATTGGCCTCTCAGTTGCTAATCAAGGAAGGAAGAAGTAGCCATTACAATGGGATTTTCTGACTAAGATACTTAAGTCTTGTTCCGATTGACTGGTGTTTGCCCACTGTTGCCATAATTGAGTCTGTCCGGTTTGCCTTCTTCTCTTCCCTTGCACCTTGAAGTTCCCAAGTCAGTACAGGGCCATAGTTGCTTACCCCTGGCATAATGTGTCTGAAATATGATTATTTGAATTTGGTCATTTGTGTCTTACGTGGGAACTATGGGTTGATTTGTTCAATGATCCAAAAAGGATCAACCATCTTCCTATCTGCCTTTTCCAAAGTCCAATTTTCCTTTTCACAGAGTGTCAGGGAAAAACCAGAGTCTATATAATTTTGATCCTTCTAGGTGTATGAATCCCGGCATCTGAATATGTGTCCCATGGAAACTATGGGAACTCCTAGTGATCATTCTTGCTTCTAGTTATTATCTGAGTATTTCACAATTACCATATGTACGTAGTATTCGAAAGAGGGATTTTAAAAAATTACGGTAAATGCAATATCTAAGAAATACTTTCTTTTTTCTTCTCCATTCTCCCTGCCAACCAGCAAAGATGCAATTCTCAAAAAGCCTTTCCAGAAGGACAAGCCGGACAAGGTGGCCCACAGACAGGTGGCAATGGATGAGTGGGACAGGTACTCCATCACACTAGTGTAACATTGTCAGAATTGTAATAAGCATTCAAACGACTTGAATAACATTTTCTTTTTTTCCTAGGGAAGAAGCCCGAAATAGACGCTTCCATTTAATAGCAATGGATGCTGTATCCTTTAATATTTTAATTTAAAAGCAAAAATACTCTAATATTGAAAAAAAAAAAACTGTCTGAACACTCTCAAGCATTTTTTTGCATTTATTTTTGTCTTTGTGGTTTTCTTCAAGTATGTTTTAAATTATATTTCTTAAGGCAGCGTTCAAGCACGAACAATTTCTGGTTATCTTGATTTTGCGGGAAGGGAGGAAAAACAGGGTATTTGGTTAGATTGGTGTTTCTTTTTAAATGAAAAGAAAATAGTAAGGAAACTGATCAGGCGGAAAAGAAAATTACATTAGAAAATAGTCAAAGATCAGTCTGGGAGATTAATAGGATGCATTTTCCCAGCTATGACTTCAATATTTCAAAATATGAAAATGTAATTTAATAAGGAGAAAAAAGTCTCCTCTTTGCTATTCGCCTATACACAAATACATTTATTTAATTATATATCTTAGATGTGCTTTCTCTTTCCTACACAGTAATAAGGCTGTGTTTTCCAAATGTTAATTAAGATGAGCAATTAAAAGAAGGCAAAGAATTGTAACTACAGTATGTCCATTTCTGAAGCTAACAGTAATACTTACACTGTATGAGCTATGATTAATGTCTATGTATCTCTGTGTATGTATTCAAATATATAACAACTGCAGCACTATAAAATGCACATTTATATAATTCTGCAGTGTTTCAGTTTTGATTTAGAATAAATTATTCAAGACACTCAATGTAAATACAGCACTGGTCAGCAACTCTTTAAAACAGTTGTTGTGGGGTTTTTCCAGGTCTCAACTACTGCAGGTATCCTTCAGTTTTGATAGAGGTTGTTGTAGTAATAACTGTGTGTAACTTATCATTTAACAATAATCATCACTTTAGAATCTTTCTCTCTTACACCTTGTATTATAGAAATGTTGTGGGGTTAGTTTTTATGAATTGATCTTAAGATGAAGTTGTTACTAGGCAATCGTTAAAAAGAAACATTATTAATTTTCTTAATTCTGTTAGTATGCAAGACATAGGAAGTTCGTAAATGATTACATTTTATACTATGGTGGTAAGAAAGAAGACTTCAGACGTTCAGGGTAAGTACCATCTTATTTATAGAAGTTTATTTCTAAAAGACAGAAAGGCTGAAATCATTAATAGTTAAAGACAAATAGAATCAAACTTTATTTGGCATACGTATAAGATTAAATTATGCATGAGTAATTTTTGGATAATTAAAGACTACTTATTATATTTTACTTATCTTGTTCATGTTGAATAGGTTGATGATAAAAAGTACAGTAAGTTCCTATCTAAATAAATGCACACTTTTCATATCTGGAGATTATAGTTCCTATAAGAGGTAATAATGCTTAAATTAATTTTCAGCAGAGCATTCTATCATATATTTAAGAATTAACTGTGCTAAATGCAAATTCTTTTAATTATGCCAATTGTGTAATTCAGAACTAAAAGTAGAAGCTATATATAAAAAATTGTTATATAAAAACATTGTTGAATTGGATCCTATGTTCTGAATTAAAAAGCACACATCAACTGTATTATCTAGATTAAATGTGGTGCGTAGTATTTCTGCATGAACATATTTACTAAAATCAACATTACTCAGTTATAAAAGAATCTGAGTACAGTTATCTTGTCATTTTTTCTGAATCTAGAGAATGAGAAGCATTTTGTTGTAGTGTAAGGTAGTGTCAGGGATGTGATTTTATGATAAAGATTTTAGGGGGGGAAATGATATGCTAAAGAACTTCACAAAAACCGCAAAAGCATGGACAGTTTTTATTACTCGTTTTAATTTAAATCAATTCTTTGATCATTCGCCCCAACTTTTTTTTTTTTCTTTTTAACAGAGAAAACGATAAAACTGACCTTGATGTTATAAGGGAGAACCACAGGTTCTTGTGGAGAAAAGAGGATGAAGTCGATATGAATTGGTAACTTGAGCTTTTCTTTATTTCTCTGTCAGGGCAAACTGATTCACACAACAACTTCTTTGGTCTGGCCCAAAGGCATTAATCCCTTCCCAAGCACATGTCTGCTTGTCTCCCCCTGTATCTCAGTATCCCATGACAGCCCAAAGGTGACTTAAGATGTGGTCATTTAGAAGTGGTGTATTTTCCTTGTCCTACCTCCGCGATGGCAAACCTATGGCATGCGTGCCACTTGTGCTATTTGTGCTGGCACACCGAGCTGCAGGCAAACTTATCTTACTGCGCATGTGCGCGCCTCACAGCTGATTTTTTTTGGCTAATTTCGGGCCGTTTTCGGCCTCCCAGAGCCTTTGAAAAAAGCCTCTGCAAGGCTTTTCAGGGCGAATAGGCCTGTTTCATCACTTCCTGTAATACCGGAAGTGATGAAACGGCCCGGGCATATTATTCATCCTGAAAAGCCTTGCAGAGGCTTTTTCCAAGCCTCTTGGAGGCCGAAAAAGGCCTCAAACCAGCCGAAAAATCAGCTGTGAAGCACAGTGCAGGTAAGGGGGTGGCGGGAGATGGAGGGGGGATGGAGATTGCGCATGCATGTGCAGAGGGTGTGTGGGGGTGTGTGCATTGCATTCTGGGTGCTGGCATGTGAGTGCGTGCACGCTAATGTGTACGCAATTTTGGGCACAGGAGCCCAAAAAGGTTAGCCACCACTGGACCTACCTCATACGCTCTGTGCTGGTGATATGGGGCCCACTGAGGTGCATTGGGGAAGCAGTCTGAAATGAAATTTCTGTGTGTTGGCTGAAATGATCGATGCCAGCAGTCTTGGGACTCCCGGTTGGTTCTCCCGATTTCCTTTGGGATTACTTCCTTCGGACTAATCCCTGACCTCTTTGCTCACCTTCTCAGTCTTCTTTTGGCTGTAAGGCAAATCAGATCAGATCAACTCAAATCCTATTATGGTTGTAGACCAGCCTAAAGGCAGATCGGTGTTCCCGCTTTCTGAAGATACTTTTAAAAAAAAAACAAAAAACTGGAGCCTCCAGGCCTTAAACTTGATTAATTTCATTCCAGGTTAAGATATGCAAATTGAGCTTCTGTGACCTGACTGGCAGGCATTCCCTTCCCAGGACTGCTGCTCAGTGGTGGGATTCAAATTTTTTACTACCAGTTCTGTGGGCGTGGTGTGGCTTGGTGGGTGTCACTTGGTGGGCGTGGCAGGGGAAGGTTACTGCAAAATCGCCATTTCCACCTCACTCCAGGGGAAGGATACTATAGCCCCATTCCCTCCCCACCCCACTAACCTGCTTTCCACCTCCATTCTCCTGTGCAGGGCAACCAAAGAAGACCCAGCCGATCAGCTGGGACTCGGAAGGCAGAGAATAGATGGGGGCAGGGCCAGTCAGAGGTGGTATTTGCCGGTTCTCCGAACTACTCAAAATTTCTGCTACCAGTTCTCCAGAATTGGTCAGAACCTGCTGAATACCACCTCTGCTGCTGCTCCCACAGAGATAGCTTTAGCTTCTTGTCTCCTCTCATCCCTCTATGTTCATGGGATATTTTACAGAATCCCCTAACTAAGTCCCTTTCTCAAACTCCCAATGTTAAGCAGCACCTTATCCAGTGGCTGCATTTCATCTGTGCAAATCCCAGTGGCCCCTAGGTGGCAGTCAAGAGACATATTTTTTTTTAAAAAAACCTCATAGTTGCAGTCTACAGTCAACCAGCTGACCCAGAATTTCAAGGAAGTAGAAGAATGAAAAATAATAATGGGTCAGTGTTCAAGAGGAAAGAAAAAAGTTGCATTGCATTGAGGAGCCATAATATTAAGCATGCCCCAATGCACATCAGTGGGCCCTACATCACCTGTACAGAGGCCTTTTATACTGTATATTGAATGGCATAGAATGGGATTGGAGTTTTGTCGATCGAAACAGAAACCATAGCCCTTAGGATGTTGCCTGTTAAAACTGCATATGTACCAGTATAGCATAGGTCCATTCCAGGTATATGGGGAGGGGGGAGCACTATGAGGTCAGCAAGATTTAGGGTGGCCTGAATGGGATGGCAGCATAGCAAATTGTGTGGATGTGGCATCTCTCTCACATTTTAATTCTTAAGTCTCCTTTTTGAATATTTTTATTTACTTACTTATTTGGTGCCTTTGATTTAGTCTTGACTCCTGGCGACTGCCTGGATAAGTCACTGCAGCTTTCTTGGCAAGATTTTAGAAGTGGTTTACCATTTCCTCAGTGGTGGGATTCATTTTTTATTTTTTTACTACCGGTTCTGTGGGCATGGCTTGGTTGGCGTGGCAGGGGAATGATAATGTAAAATCTCCAGTCAGAGGTGGTATTTGCCGGTTCTCCGAACTACTCAAAATTTCCGCTACCGGTTCTCCAGAACTGGTCAGAACCTGCTGAATACCACCTCTACATTTCCTGCTTCTTAGGACTGAGAGAAAGTGGCTGGTCCCAAGATCACCCAGCTGTTTTCATCCCTAAGGCAGGAAAGATTGAAACTCAGCCTAATACACCTCAGGTCCCCAACTCCATGGTAGGCTGCTGTTCGGAACTGTGCTACGGAAGTGGAGGGTGAGCGTGCGCGAAGCTCCATGTGCCCGCTGCTTGCTCAAATGGAGCTGTATGCGCACACTCACCCGCAGCTCACACGGAACCATCCCTTCTCTTCCCCCCGCCACGCCAGTCTGCGAAGCCAGAAAGGTTGGAGAACACTGCACTATACCATACTACCTCCCCTCCCCCCAAAAGATAGCTTCAGACATTTAGGAAGTGTGAAATAATACACTCTGTAGCAAAGCATGCTCATGATAAAAGTAAAGTAATAGCAAGCTACTTGAACAATGAATGCCAACCATTTAAAAATATTCTGTTGCAACTAATACTTAACAGCAAATAAACTTGTTGGCGTTTCTGCCTATCCTTTGTTAAAGGTGGAATACCTTTCCTCTTTTTGTCCATATTTTTTCTTCTGTTCAATCAATAATCCTATCTTTCAGGGAGAAGAGGCTGAGCAAGAAATACTATGATAAATTATTCAAAGAATACTGTATAGCAGACCTGAGAAACTACAAAGAGAACAAGGTAATTTTTAGGTTCTGGCTGAAAGTTTTGAAAATAATTTTAGTTCATTAGCAAATTGTTTTAGGGAATTGGACAATATAGAGGGTGGTTTTACAAAACCATTATTGTTTATGACCGGTGCATGAGAGTCACATATTTGCGGACCCTTGACTTATACCTTGCTTTTAGATATTTTGTTTAGGTAACAAAGCAATGTTGATCTGTTTGTTCCCAATGGCTGTTGCAGAACCCTAGCAAATGTTTGAGGCAGCTACTAGGTTAATGAGTAGGTGCTATACTAGCAACTGGCAAACTCACGCTCTCTTTGGATGAACATCTATGGAGCAAACCATGTAGCAGAACATTCTGTTTCCAAAACTGGCTTCACAGATTCCTTGTGGTTGTCCTTAAGACAAGTCACAATGCTGTAGTTCTCGCTCACAGATGGTCTTGTGCAGTTAAGATTCTGAGAGATTAGCAAATAATGGGCAAAGATGTATTGAAATATAGCATTAGTTTGATCCAGCACATTTCTTAAGTACAAAACCAGTGAGGAGAATGACATGACTGCATTCCTCTCTTTCATCCTCTTGAAATCAATATAGAGACTTAAAATTAGCCTTTGGCACAGATGAGAACAGATATAGCACTGGCTATGAATTTTAATGGCTACAATGCTTCTTAGCAGCTGATCTTTTTCGGAAAACTATTCCAGTGTGATGGATGATTAAAAGGAAATATAGCTGAATGGGCAGCCTGTTGAATCTAAGTCGATACAATGGCATTGAACAAGTAGTACTTACGACCATTCCTTGAAATGCTGGCTGTCGTATAACCTGCACGGTCACCTGATCTCTTTATAGTGGTTCTTTATATTGACTATCCAAAATTCAACTGGTTAAAAAAAAAGCCTAATAAAAGACACCAATAACTTAAAAAAAAAAAAACTACTATTAAGCACAACTGTGTTATATTCATCGTTACCATTTTTGATTTCACACACCTCGTTCCTAAATCAACCTTTGGAATCATGTGACATTCATTTTCATCACTGATATTATGATTTCAATGATTTCATAATTGCTGTTCATTGCTTACTTTAATAAAAAAAATAGTTTTTTCGATGTAGAGGCTACTTTTTCCTACTTTTTCTGTGTGTTTGCTGAATTTGTAAATGCAAAGTACTAACCGTGTGTTTGTAAAATATTTCCAACAGTTTGGATTTAGATGGAGACACGAGCAAGAAGTTGTCTCAGGAAAAGGCAAGTTTTCTTCTTGTTCCTTATTGAGCCTTGGAACCTAACTTAGATGAGCAGAATTCTGTTATGGAAAGGGTTTTTCTAACCTCTCACTGCAGCCTCTTCAGGCTCCCAAAATCTGATATTTTGAAGGCTGAAGAACTGAAGGTAAAAATGTCATCTTATGTTTGTTGGTCCTTTCTAACATCTGGTGTTGATCTAACACAGGGGTGTCCAACCTTGGCAACTTTAAGACTTGTGGACACAATTCTGGGAGTTGAAGAATTCCACAAGTCTTAAAGTTGCCAAGGTTGGACACCCCTGATCTAACATCTTCTCAGACTTACAAAAAAACTATTTCTAGTTCACCAGTTATACCATTGATTTCAGGCCATGGAGTTTATTGTTGCTATTAATTGTACAGTAGCCTTCTAATATACCATAATTTAACTGTATAATAATTTATTCTTACTATTTTGTGAATTGTAATTTTAATGACCGCAGGCTTGCTCAGATTATTAAAGTCATCAAATATCATTGTTACAGAGCAATAATATAGTTTACCACTAAGAGGCGTGAGCATGCAGCATTGTTGTGAGATTCAGTTGTAGGTTTTCTTGAGTGTATTTTTGCAGTTTCCTTTTGGGTGTGTGCAAAAAGGTTGCAAAAGGTGAATGCGTGACCCCAGGACACTGCAAATGTCATAAATATGAGTCCGTTGCTAAGCATCTGAATTTTGATCACATGACCAAGAGGATGCACTAATAGTCATAAGTGGGAAAAACAGTCATAAGTCACTTTTTCAGTGCCGTTGTAACTTTGAACGGTCACTGAATGAATTGTTGTAAGTCAAGGACTACCTGCAATGTATTCTAATCAAAAAAGAGGCACATGGGGGGGATTGTGTTACATTTGTTTTGAACAGTAGGTCATTTAGCACATTTCACAATTGAGGAGTAACCTGCATCTCGGTGTCTTTGGTCTAAACCAATGTACTTCACTATTTAACAGAATGGCAGAGTTGGAAGGGACCTTGGAGGTCTTCTAGTCCAACCCCCAGCACAGGCAGGAAACCCTATACCCGTGATGGCGAACCTATGGCACGCGTGGCACAGGTGGCACACAGAGCCATTTATGCGGGCATGCGAGCCCCAGGCAAACTTACCTCACTGTGCATGCGCGTGCCTCCCAGCTGATTTTCAGTCCTTTTTCGGCCTGCCAGAGGCTTGAGGGAAGCCTTTGCAGGCCTTGCAGGCCAAAAAGTAGGCCCGTTTTGTCACTTCCGGTATTTCTGGAAATACCGGAAGTGACAAAACAGGCCCATTTTTCGGCCTGCAAAGCCTGCAGAGGTGTCCTTCAAGCCTCTGGCAGGCCGAAAAAGGCCTCAAACGGGCCAAAAATCATCTGGCAAGCACAATGCAGGTAAGGGAGTGGCAGGGAAGGGGGAATTGTGTGTGCATGTGCAAGGGGTGTTGGGGGCCCATGCGCATTGCCTTCTGGGTGCTGGCATGCGAGCACGCGGGTGCAATTTTTGGCACAGGAGCCCAAAAAGGTTAGCTACCACTGCCCTATACCATTTCAGACAAATGGTTGTCTAGTCTCGTCTTAAAATCTTCCAATGTTGGAACATTCACAAGTTCTGGAGGCAAGTTGTTCTGCTTCTCTCCTTGATTAGTTTCCACCCATTGCTTCTTGTCCTGCCCTCAAGTGCTTTGGAGAATAGCTTGACTCCCTCTTCTTTGTGGCAACCCCTGAGATATTGGAACACTGCTATCATGTCACCCCTAGTCCTTCTTTTTATTAAACCAGACACACCCAATTTCAGCAACCATTTTTTATATGAATGCACACTGTCGAATTTACCACAGTGTTATCACAACCACATTTAACAATACATTAATGCATACTGAATTTATTTCTGCAACAATGAATCCTGGCTTATGTAAAACAACAAGCGATGTTCATGTATTCTGAGCAGCCAGAGACGTAATCAAAATAAGACACAAAGACCAAATATTTTGGTAATTGCCAAATCCTGAAAGTTATTTACGTATCTAATTCTGGGGGGACTCTTGGTTAACATGCATTATTTACATGTCTAGTTGTGGATTATTGGTTATTATGCTAATGCAATACTCCATGTTTGTTGCATAATTGTAGGTGAAAGTTAGTCAGGTTTGGGATATTAGCTAAGCTGATCAAAATTCCTTCATACATTCCCACCTCAAAAATGTAACCAGCTAATCCCATAAGTAAATCCTCTCTGATGAAATTCCTCAAAGTTGCTTCTAGAGCAGCAGCTGAAGCCATTGCTAGGATTAGGAAGGCTGTATTTTTCTAAAAAAATCATTTGATTCAGGTTTCTTTCCTCAGTGTTCGCCAATAAATATATGTGGCTGTTTTACTTTGTATGCATCTTACAGCTTTTCACATTACTATGGGTTGCTATCTGTTACAATGCAGTTCATTTGCTGTTGGTTCTTAAAATAAACTATTCCTTTGTCGTTATTGTTGTGGGTAGAAATTCAAAACCCAGGACTTTGATTTATTTATTTTTCTTTTTAGCAAGAACTTAATATTATTTGGTGGGGAAAAAAATGATTAAGTTCCTTACCTTTTGGTGTAAGGTTTAGAATTACAATTGGTTTTATAGGCAGAATGGAAGTATTTGAGGATATTGTCAATCCAGCTAAGCTGGACAGTCTGAGGTTTAATCTTTAAAAAAAAAAAGGCTTGGTGGTGAGCCTCTTAATACAAATTGGCATCACTCTGAAGGCATCCAGATGAATCTCTCCAAGAGGCTGCATATCACTTATACTTTATGTAGCATTAAATACAGAATAATGTCTAAAAAAAATCCAGTATGCAATGTAATACATAGCAGGGCTTGATTGGACCATGCTGTCTCATGCTACACTCATTTTATTAGTTCAGCAAAGCAATCTGCTTTTGGGGAAACGCTTGGAGTCATTTTTGAAGATAGGTCAAAATGCAGCAGGAAGAAAAGTTGAAGGGAAAAAAAATCCTCAGGGATCATTTCGATTAGTGATTTGGATGTTATTCATCATCAATCGTTTGTTAGGGAGTCTGACTTTCACACAGACAGAATTAAAGATGAGATGTATTTTTCTGAGAAACATATAGCTAATTCAATTATTATACTTTATTTCTTGTATTGAACCTGATGATCTAAATAGCCCTGTCCAAGATGATAATATCTATCATTTGATGTAAGCATAATGAATATAGGAACTATTGCTTAGGCCAATTTTTACTATTGTGGCTTTAAAATACTAACTAAAATATCCCTTTGGTTAATTAAATGTCAAAGCAGAAAGCAAGGCTAAGAAGGGGACCTGTGCTTTACAGAAAGGGTCCCAAACCTTTCGGACCTCAGGGACCACTAAATTCGTCATTTTAAATCCCAAGGACCACTAATACGATCTGCCTAATAACCAGCTGGGTGGGCGTGACTAGGTGGTCATGTGACTGGGTGGGTGTGGCCAACTCGATGTCATGTTGCCAGCCTCTACTCACCCCTCCCCTCCCAGCCACTCCTCGCCTCCCTGGCCGGACTCCTTAGGGTCCCAACTGGAAGCAGTTGTTGGAGCTAAGCAGCCGCCAGGAGAAAGAGTTGGCAAAGCAGCTGGCTCAGTTCAAATTGGATCTGATTGAGAAGGAGGCCCAGCAGGAGCACCTCACTGAGGACTATGAGATAAAGGTCAGGTAGAGGTTGCGAGCAGCACACTGCCGTATCTCCAATGCCTGCATGCCTCAAACATTATCTCACCTAGTTCACATCATCAGGATACTGCGGAAGACTGCCCCTGGCTGGTACGTTCTTAAGATTGGTGAGGAGAATCCACCAGTGCAAATGCTGTTTCTATATTACCTTTGGCTGCTTGGAAAAACCGTATAAAAGCAATAAACACTGCGAAGGCAGTTAGACCTCTTTGCACCCTGCAGATGACTGGTCATTGACTCCATCATACAAGCACAGGCTTTCCAAGCAGAGGAAAGGCCTGCGGTAATGCAAGGCCAGATATCAGTGCCTGGAGGCTCGGGGGGGCTGAGATGGTCAGCCAGTTCCAGGCCATGATGCAGTCCCGCTGGAACAAGAACCCTCCAGCTCTTCGCCACCAGTGGCATTTCCTTCCAGCCTTTGCCCAAAGCCCTGCCCTAGAAGGCTGAAGCAGACCCCAAGTTGGAATTTCTGCCCCCCTTCGACCCACACAAAAAGACCCCGAAGGGGGGAGAGTCTCTGCAGCAATACAAACATTCATTGCACAGGTCAGGCCCAGGGGGTATAGTTTTAGGACCCCTGATTTAGTGCAATATAAAAAAAAATGCAAATCATTTTTCTGCAGACCACCAAAATTTTCTCGTGGACCACCAGTGGGTGACCGCTGCTTTACAGGACCTTTGCTGTTTTGCAATAAAGGTCAAGAAGCTCCAAAGGCAGCTAGAGAAACTGAGGTGGGGGGGAATGTTCCCTAAAATACAAGGACATACAATGCGAATCCAACAGTTACAGGCAGAAATGATTGAGAACAGACAGGAGTCGCGATGATTTGGAAGGAAAAGCTGTTTCTTTTGAAGTTGTTGCTGTTGTTGTTGGGTGCTTTGCAGGAAGATTGAGACACAACACTAAAGTAAATGACAAGGCCCAGCTTTCCATGTTTCTTGTCTTTGTTTGCAAAGACTTTTTGGAAGGCACTCAAATGAACATCAAAATCAAAAGTTTTTTCACCTCAAACCACAGTAGCTGAGGGTCCATGTCAGGTTGAGCACCTAAAAGATCTTGGGCCATGCTTTTAATCACACATCTTTACTTAGATCAGGGGTCTCCAACCTTGGCAACTTTAAGACTTGTGGACTTCAACTCCCAGAATTCCTCAGCCAGCTTTGCTGGCTGAGGAATTCTGGGAGTTGAAGTCCACAAGTCTTAA